TGTATATATAAATAATTTATAAAATAGTTAATAAATGTTGTAGTGGGGACCACTTTTGAAAGTGTAGGTGACGTGGCACAGTTGAAAGTGTTGTAGGTGAATTGCAGGTGTGTGGAAGATAATTGCAAAAGTTGATGTGGCACAATTGAAAGTGTAAATGAATTGCAGGGATGTGGATGGTCTGACAATCCAAAAAAAGCGTTCGATATTATCCTTGTTGTGATCACATCGCCGACAATTGTGATCCCATCGCCGACAATTGTGATCCACCACCGTCCACCGGAGAAATGGCTACCTTAGTCGCTCTCAAGAGAGGCATCACCGCAGTTACTGCATTTAGCAAACTTTTTGCTCCAATCCGCTCTGTCTCAGCTGTTCTTTGCGTCCCACGGTGGTTCCATACTGACTCCTCTCGTGCTTTTTCTTATGATGATTTCAAGCGAAGAGTTGATGTGGATCGCCATCCTAATTCCGCTCCTTTTAGCAAGCTATTTGCCCCCATTCTCTCCGTCTCTGCTGTTCCTTGCGTCCCACGGTGGTTCGATACTGACTCCTCTCATGCGTTCGCTTATCATAATGTCAATCGAAGCGTTGATGCAGATCGCCGTCCTGATTCCACTGTCTCTCGCCGCCGTGACAACGACGTCTTCTCAGGTGAGCTGCATGTTATAACTTTTGATTCTTCGGCTAAAATTAGAGATCGGCAGATTTTGACGAATTGGAGAAGTTCATTCACTAATTGTTTCTGTTCTCTAACTAAAATCGTTACGATAGTACGTGAATAGTCCGCTGGACTCCTCAACATATCGTGTTTTGTATTTTATGTTCGTTTGTTTCAGCAACCTCTGTACATCCTGGCTTTGTTCTTCATAATATCAATCGTATTGCTTATGAGATTTGTTTTGCTTTCATATGTAACAGCAAAACACTGTGAAGGTAACCTTCATAGTGTTTTCGCCGTGAAGGTTTGACTTTTTTTTTACCTTTGTTGTGACGTTTCAAATGTAAAAATATTGTCTCATTTATCTCATGAAAACATGTTGGTCTCACGTAAACTGAACCCTTGTTTATAAAGATGTCCTCAAAAGTTATTTGTCAACAATGTTTATACTATCAATGTGAAGATCGTTTTTTTTTTTTTTTTGTAAGGGTATCCGGGCCGCCCGACTAATCCCCGGCAATTTTGGAGGCTAAACATGGCCCCACTTAAATGTCGCCAACACTCCTCTCTCAGGGTTCGAACTCGGGTTCATGACTATGCCATGCCCAAGCCTTTACCACTAGGCTGGAAGGTCTTTGACAAGATCGTTTTCTTTACGGTAACAGATTGTGCTTTTTTACCCAAGACTATCAAACATGAATCCCACAAACACCCTCTTACTCAAGATATTCATGCCAAGTTTGTGACTTTAAATTGGACCTTATATTCCCTTTGTCAGTGATAGCCAAAATCTGGTCTCAGGTCAGAACAGTGATGTTTATAACCGGTCCTGTTAAAAATATTAAGGTTCGGTTAAGGATACTTGTAACCGGTCTTATATTAAAAAATATTTTATTTTTAAATCTCTTTTTGATAAATTTTTATAAATACTTTAATATTATTCTAATATACTTTAAAATATCTAATTAAGTCAATCAAATATACTTAACAATTACGTTTTATTATAGTTTTATAATTGGTTTTCAACCAAATACACTTAAAAAAATATGTTTTATTATAGTTTATAATTGGTTTTCAATTAAATACACTTAGAAAACTAGGAATACATATAAAAAACATTTTTTTGAAAAAAAAATGGGCCAGGCCTTGTTTCTGGATGAAGACCATAAACGGTCCTTAATAGGGGGTCCGACCTGTGTCGGGTCAGTTGTCGGTCCCGAGCTGGGCTGGACCCATTTAGCCATCTCTACTGATCATAGGTGTTGCAAAC